AAGCACTGATCAGGTGGCCAAACTTTGGGCCTCCTATTCCTGACTCTCCTTTCTCTGTTGCTTCAGGTGATTACAGACCAATTGTGCTCCTTGAATAACTGCCTACAAGCTTTAAAAAAAAGACTCCAGGCACAATGCAAAGAAGTATGAGGTAGAACAGAAGCACTAAACACATTTTTAGCCAACTGACTGGGATGCCCCATGAAGCCATAACCCCACACTTCCAAATGAAGGAACCAAATCTACGTGAGGTGTGGTTGAACATAAGTAAGCTCAGCAGCTACTTTGCTATTATTGTTGTAAATATATCTATCATACAATTTTTGTCAATTCAACCTTTTAGAAGTTTACAACTTTTTGACAGCAATTATAATAATTGCCTCTGCAGCCCTACCCTTAATCAATGTGATTTTTCATCACTCCTAAACCCCGTTTCTCCTTTGCTTCCTCCTGCGGTAATCATCAATAAACTTGGTCCCTACACATTTACTTTTTCATACAAGTGAGGTTATACAATATTTGTCCTTTTGTGACTGACTTCTTTCACTCAGCATAATGTCTTTAAGCACCGTCCATACTTGTATTTTAATATTTAAATTGATTAGCAAAAAGTACCTCAGAAAATGCCATATGAGAAAATGAATATAGTTTCAAAACTATACTTAATAAAATTCAACAGCAATTTGGTCAGTTGATTAGCAGTTTGGTTAGTTGATCAGTTAGGATGCATGCAAAAATGTTAGATAAAGTCACACACACATACATACAGCATAAAATATGGCAAATCTACATTTAATATTTACTGAGCATCAATAATGTACCAGACTATAGCTCAGAGTCTGACTTACTATTAACTAATACAGAATAAAGACTCCTGGCATTGAAGGATCAGCAATGGACTGCAAACCAAAAGGTTGGTAGTTCAAACCCACCAGCTGCTCTTTGGAAACCCTGTACAGGGTCAATAAGAGTTGGAACAGAATCAACAGCACTTAACAACAACACAGAATACAGGTTTTTACAGCTATCTGAAAATACAACATTCCTATAAAAGCATTCATAAATCTCAGTGGCATAAAGTGAAGAAGCAATTACCGCTAACTTATATGCGGGCATTTTTGAGCCTTCTCAGACCCAAAAAATAACCTACCAAGTCATGCCAAATAAGACATAAAACCTAAAAATTAACACTAACTGAAAGTGTTCAAAGACACAGTTCACAGCTGTGGTGGCTGGATATTGAGCTGCTGAGTATAATTCCAGAGGAAGAGCATGGCATGGCCACTCTGGCTGCTCAGGGTGTGTGCTGCCACAAAACACACACTAATTTTTCTTTATTTCAACTTTTTATTGTGAATTGAATGAAAGCTTACAGAACAGATCATCAGTCCCACATTCAACAATCACATACTTTATGTTATTACAATGATTGCAAGCCCTTCCATGTGCCATCAGCTAACAGTATTTACCTCTATTCACTTAATAATTTCTCTTTTTGTCTTTTAAAAAGTGAAAATCTCTTGTATTTATTTCCAATAGGGAAAACATGTACCAATGTAGGTTTTTTATAAAAGCGAACTTTCAAAAAGTGGGGTACATCTATCCTGCTAGTTTGAATACAACTGTATGTATTATGAGTCTGAATACTAATACTTATCAGTTCCATAAGCATGTGAATTACACTGACCTAGGTCAGCTATTTTGAAGAATGCCCCTTAATTTAAATTCTTCTGATGTTTTCCTATGCGTGGTTTGAGGTTATGTATTTATGGCAAGAGTATTGAGAAGTGGTATATTACTCTCAGTGTACCGTATCAGGGGGTTACATGATGTTGCTATGTCTTATATATAGTGATGTTAATCTTGACCACTTGAGCTGGTTGAGGTAATGTCTGCTGGCTTTCTCCACTGTAAAGTTATTTACAATACTACTGTTATTTATTTTGTTGCTAAAACAGTTCCACCTTTGGCCATTGGGAACTTTTAAAAATTGGTTCCCGTATCTTTCTGACATGATTCTATCCATTTTTGAGCATTTAGCACTTTCTGGAACCACAAGGTGTTCTAGATTACCCTCTTATTTTTCCTGCCCTGAAATCAACCACTTCTCTACAGAGCTCTGGCTCCTTTCCCTGAAAAACGGTTTGAGATGTCAGTATCTGGGTTTTGCTCATTGCTCCTTGCATGTCACTGCTGCTAGTCTTTCTCAGTGAACAAAGCCAGGGTAAGAGCCAGGAGAGGGGTTGACTAAAAAAAGAAGGAGAAGCACAAGGGAATTTGGGGTCAACAGAACTACTCTGTATCAGGATTGTGTGTTTAAAACCAATAGAAGTATACACCATAAACAGTACATTTTACTATATGCAATTAATTAAAAAAACCAACAAACCAGCCAGGATATGGAGAGAATCCAAAACAGAATACAAACTAGCAAACGAGCCTACCTGTATTAACAAATGAATACCATAATACTAAAAGGGATGGAAACAAAAAAGAATTACTCCAAATGAAGAAAAAAAAAAAAAAAAGACTTTGGTTGGAGATGGAATCACAGCTGTATTTTGGTTGGAGATGGAGTTACAGCTGTATATAATAATGCTGTACTTAGTAACCTTGTTTCTCATAGGGGTATGAGCTAATCGTATAGATGAGGGAACTTCAAAAAGTTCATGGAAAAGTAGAATGAGAAGATAATGGATTTTTTTCACAAACTGTCTAAAGTCCCTTCATACCAACCAGTGTTGTACTAAGAAGAACGTATGTTGTAGATAATGGCAGCTTTCTCATAATTGGAGAAACAAATGACAAGTAAGGAAAGGGAAAAGGCTACATTAATCTCTGTGATTCAACTAGAATGGGTGTCATCAGTAAGAATGTATACTTTAACACACACAGATAAAGATGGGCAAAATTGATATAGATATAAATAAAAATACACGCACAAGCATGAGTAAGTATAAATGCATGTATTGCTAGGCCTATTTTGGATGTTTCACATTTGTTAACTCATTATTCTTTATACCAGCATTTTGAGGTAAGCAATTTTTAAGCTCTGGTAGTGTAGTGGTTACGAATTGGGCTGCTAACGTCAAGATCAGCAGTTCGAAACTACCAGCTGTTCCACGGGAGAAAGATGAGACTTTCTGCTTCCTTAAAGATTTGCAGCCTCATAAATCCTGTGCAGGGTCACTAAGAGTCGGAACCGACTCCATGGTACTTAACAACAACAACATCCCCGCTTTAAAGGTGGGAAAACTGAGACTATAAGGAATTGCCATACCTCACAGATCTAGTGAGAAAACCTGCTGTGGCATTGCAGGATACTGCACTAGACCACAGCATCGGTTTGAATCATGAAGTCAGCAGTTCAAATTCACCAATTGTTCCTCGGAAACCCTACACAGGGTCGCTCTGCGTTGGAGCCAACTTGACAGCACTTAGTAGCAACAATAACAACACAGAGCTAGTGAAGGAGCCCTGGTAGCACAGTGGATTACTAGCTAAGTTTCTAACCACCAGGTCAGCAGTTTGAATCTACCAGTCACGCCTTGAAAGAAAGGTGAAACTTTCTGCTTCTGTATAGATTTACAGCCTTGGAATCCCTGTACAAGATCACTGTGGTTTGGCACTGACTCCACGGCATACAACAATGACCACCACCACAGAACTAGTGAGTGTCACAACTGAAAAAGCAACCCTTGTAGGATAGTTCCAAAGCCTGGGGTTGTAACCAATAAAAACAATGTCTTTTACAAAGCAAATCTGAGGAGGTATCTCTGCTCCTCAAAAAGTCAACACAAGATGTACGTAAAAGTAAAATACGCAGGAAGTGGAAGGAGCAGGTCAGCCTACGTGATATGACCATCTCCTAAATGGCTTTTCAGTTAACAGCTGCAAAGATTTCAACAACCATCACCTGAATATGGCTTTTATGTTTCAGTTAAGACAGCCAAAATAATTTCTCCTCACAGTTACAATGATTATTCTTATGTCAGCCATCATAAGCAGTCACAAGCCACATAACATCTACCAGGAGTAATGAATGACATTTATGATATAAACCTAAAACCACCAACACCAACATTTACTGCACTTTTACTATGAGCCAAGTAAAGTTCTTTAAACTTCTTACATGGACTAACTTATTTAATTTTCACAATAATCCTTTGAGACAGATATTGCTTCTACTTGAGATACGGGAAACCTGAGACACAGAGAACTTGAGAAAATCGTCTAAGGTCACACAGCTAGTGTCTGAGACCAGGATGTGTTACCACTAACTATGCTGCCACTCATAAGAGTCATGCTTTCAGCTGCACATATCTGACATGGCATATAAACATCCACAACTAAAATTAATGAGGTGCACCATAACAGAAAAATGTTACAAGTGTTACATGTCATAAACCCACATATTTTAAGAGTTGGCGAAGTAGTGTACCTAAAATTTTTGAAAGAATAAAGCCTCTGTCTTCTTCATTCACTACATTTATTTTAGGTGGTTGATGTCTTGTAAAGATTTCTCAGACCAGTAACTGGAAGTAATAATTCTAAGATTTGTATTTGCTTCAAGCTAAATATACTTGACAGCATTTTTTTGGCTAAGTAACTTGTCATTTGTAGATTCCCTTTTGTTGTTTTTGTTTATATGAGGAGACTTGAAAAAGTTCATGAAAATATGAAAATAAAATATAATGGAAAATTTCCATAATATTTTTGAAGCCCCCTTACATATGTGGGCAGCAGTTATTTAAGGGTATCAAAAACAAAACAAAACAACCCCCTCCCCAAACCTAGAACAAAAGCATTTTTGCTTTGTATTAACTGTATGAAATACATGTAATAATGTAAGACTAAGATAAACAAGATGATAAAACGTAAGTGATTTCTTCAGAATACGTAAGCCTAAGATACACACAGCCATTCTTATTTAAGTAATTTAGGTGAATGGCATAAGTATTCCAAAGTTATCACCAAGTACGAATATATACAACAAATACCTCATGTCTTGGATAAGAGAGACCCTAAGTGTTGGTAACATAACTCCTGAGTCAGATTTTCTTCTTTCTGGTCCAAGGGCAACTGTGTAGAAAAATATCAGCAAAGTATTAGAAATTATTTTGATGAGAACAAATTTCACAGACAACAGAAAAGTTCAAACTCTTTTCCCTGAATACTAATGTTTTGTTAATATAGTAAGCCAGTTATTTTCTCTCTAGCTAATCTGGGTGGCATTAAGAAATTTAAAATGAATCATAAAGTCCACCAAGTAGGAACCTATCTTGCTATGCAAACTTTACCCAAAACACAATTTTAAGAAAGAAAAAAGTCCAATTAGCAAACAATGCAAAGTAGGTAAACTATGGCCATAAGGCCTGGTCATTGTCTAAAATAATTAGTAGCTGATCAGCTCTGGATAATTATATAAGTGACATCTATAAAGCTACCAAGAATGTTAATCATATTCATGCTCATGAGTTACAATATTATTTTGTTATACTTTGATAAGAGTGTTTTTTAAAAATCTAGAGTTTGGACTCTTCTAGACAGTAAGTTTTTACTTCAAAGTTTGAAACTTAACTATAGCATATATATCATGCATAGAAAATAATCTTCATATATAAATTCAATATTCATGAGTTATTCTTATATAAAGTCTAAGTAGTAAGAATATTAATGACACAGAAAAATCACTCCCTTGTATAGCAGTGGTGATTTACGGTTGATTCATGGCAGTTAAGGTGCTCACTATAAACGAGCTGTTGTGGAGTACTGTGGCCTTTACTTCCATTTTCCACTCTGTAAATGAAAACTAGATGACAACATCACACTTAACCTAATGGGAATTTAGGAAGTGGGTTTTTGCTGAATATGAAATCTGCTACTTTCTGAGTGTATAGATTCACTCTACTTTAGGGGGCTAGGAGACAATGCTGATAGACATATATAGATGAAATCGGCAATGAAGGAAAATAGGCAGGGGGCTTTTTGGTGAAAATATGGCTAAGGCCAACCAAAAGGCAGTACTTTCCAGGGCCTTCCACACAATGTGAGTGGTAAACAGGCCATCTACCTTAGCAATTTGTGAGGGAGTTTTCAATGGAACACTTAGGTTCATCTTAAAGCCCAGGAAATAATGGACACGGAGGATTGTTCCAAGACTTGCAGGGAATGTGCTATGTTTATCTTCCTGTCTGAGACTGTCACCACTTAAGTGTGTTATTAATGAAAACACATTGCCCTTTCTGGAGAGAAAGTGAAATACCTCAGAGAATGCCTCTGCACTCCAGATGATTAGACACGATGAAAGACGGCCATAAGAGTGTAAGAAACACAACAACAACACAGAATACCTGACCAAGCAGACTCATGGGACGTTCCCAGAACTTTGAACCACATACAAAGGAATATTTAGAAGGTTGGATGGCTTACAGCTGGGGGAATTTGTAGCAGAAGCAAGAAATCTATTGCTTTCCAGTCCGGGATGCTCAGCTGCTCCAGGAGC